AAAGAAGTGTAAGAAAAAAGTTGAGAAAATCTAAAACTCCACAAAAGCAGGAGCAAAGGCGAAGTGTGTGGCAAGCGAAAATAGAAATAAGAAAAATAGAAATTCGAAAAGAAGAATTACGAAAAAAAAGATATAAGAAAAATATAAAAAAAGGGAAATTCGAAAAAAACGAAGCGAAAAAAGTGTGTGTGAATTTACAGTTAAAGTGTGAAAAGTTGTGCTGAAGCGCTGAATGCAAGCGTGTGGAGCGGCGAGCAGCGTAATTGGGGCAGCAGCAGCAGCATTAACGGCAGCCAGGAATTCGCGACACTAGTGGTGCCACATAGGTGAGGCTAACGGCAAAAATTTGTGGCAAATACACTGCCATTGGCAGGACACAAAGTAGGCAACAGCAGCTGGTGGAGTGATTGCGAGCGCTGACAGCTGAAATGTTGAAATTTCGTTGAAAAAGAAGAAGAAAAAACACAACAATAATAACAAAAGAAACCGAGTGGCGTGGAAATGATTACAAAATAATAAGTGTAGCATACATATACATATGTATATACAAACATACATGTTTATGTAAAAGTGCTATATTTTCGTGTGAATGTGTATGTGTGTGTGTGTGTGTATATACGTGTGTTTGTGCGCCTAAATAGTCAATTAATTTGAGGCAACATTTAAGCTATCGCAGCACAGGTGGCGGTGTAGGCGCGGCATGACCGAAGTAAAATAACACAAAACCAAATAAAAAAACAACAACAACAACAACAAACAGTCACTGTGCACAGAAAGTAACAGAAAGTGTTGTTGCAAGCATTGTAGGCCTCTTACTATGCATGCTTGCGTGTTACAACTGGCGGTTGTTGTTTTTGTTGTTGTAGTGCTTTTATTACTACACTCGCAGCGCCCTGCGGCAGCTGAAGAGCACGTTAATAAAAGTGAAAAACTAAATGTAGAAGCTAAAAATTGTAAATTGAAAACTGATAAACAAGGAAATAAATGCGTCAACATGCGCGCAAACACACACACACAACTACAAATATAGGCATGCACAAGCATGTGTGACATATGTACATACCGTTATATATGCATACATATGTATGTAAGTGCTTATTTGTGCCAACGAAAGTGGGCCGTAGTGAAGGTAAACTTTGACACAATTAAAATAGCGTGCGGTGACGGGTGGCCATAAAAGGATACAAATAGCTAAAAGTGTGTGCGTATATGTGTGTGCATACATAGCTAGAATGTAATATGTATATGCTTGCATGTTGCCGCAGTGTTGAAAAACATCGCAACAGCCGTAGTGAGGGGCGTATATGTATATATGTATGTATATAAAAATGTGTGAGTGTAGTGACACGTGAGCCGCTTGGCAGATTGCTCATACGCCATGTTGGTCGGTAGGCTGCAGTTAGTGGGTTAGATGTTCGGACGTTTGAACCTTTATTTGGGCGGTCAGACAGTGTCTAGCTGGGAAAACAGTTTGCCGCTGGCCACACGAGTTGTATATATGCATGTAGGCGTGTGTGTGTATGTGAGTATGTGTGGCTGAGTGCACATATGCGCTGCAGACATGCTGCTGGCAAAACTAATGATTGTGCACTTGCTGTAATGAAACAATAAATAGAAAAAACCAGCATACACATACCTACAAACATACACCTATATACACTTGTATACATATGCATGTATATATACAACTGCCACACTGTATGCCTGCTTGTAGTTGCCTTTGTGCTTGCCAGTTTTTGCCGCACAGCACATAATTATAGTGTGTTAAGTGAAGTTTTAAAAATACATGCCGCATTGCCTTGAACAACAAAAATAAACAGCTTATAATAATGACAAAAAAAAATGGAAAATGTTGCAAAAACGGGCAAGGCACAGAAATAACAACAGCAAACAGGGGCAATGGGCGAAAAATCGATGCAACTCAGCAAAAAGCGGCGAGCAAAGTGTGACACCCTATTTGGCAAACAGAGTTGTGAAGTTGTGCACAAAAACCGCAAGCGCAACACTACAAGCAGACATGCACACACACACATACAACCAAAAAAAAAAGCTTGTAAATATGCAAAATACATGCTGAAAAAGCAGTAGCCAAAATGACACGTGAAAAAATAATAAAAAAAGTTAGCAAACAAGACAAAGCGTTTACTTCGGTTGCATTGAAGCTATAATACCCTTCACAGGTGCATTTTTTATAGCTTGAAAGGATGTAAAAATTTCTTGAACTTTATTTTGAATGGTCTGTTTGTATCGCAGCTGTATGCTATAGTGGTGCGATCTGAATAATTTGTGCAAATATTATATAGCTCTGCTTTGCGTAATAATATGTGTCAAATTTCGTGAAAATATCTCATCAAATAAAAAAGTTTTCCATACAAGAATTTGATTTTGATCGGTTAGTTTGTATGGCGGCTATATGCTATAATGCTCCGATATCGGTGGTTCCGACAAATTATAAGCTTCTTAGAGGGAAAAGAATGTGTGCCAAATTTCAGATCGATATCTCAAAAACTGAGGAACTAATTCGCATATAGTAACAGGCAGACAGAAAGCTGATTATTTACATATGCATATACCTGTTCAGGGTATAAATAAAATAAAAAGTGGGTGCTTGAAAAAAGAGTAAAAAATAAACAAAAAATTTACCCAAAAAAACACACACAAATACATAGAAACAATATTTTTCTCGCACACGAAAATCCATTTGCATTAGTATTTTCCACATGCAAAAAATGCAAACCACCGAGCAAATGTTACTTTTTCATCAAACACCTTCGGGGAATTGCCAGAAAGGCTTTTAGAAAAACATAGTTTTCGCAGCAATAATAACAAAAGCACATGCCAATGTATGTATGTCTGCATGTACATGCCTCATCAATTATAGATTAATGTTCACACCTCAAAATTGAAGTGTTAAAAATTGAAAGCGAAAATCTGAGCAAAAGTCTGTTGCAAATGCCAGCAATGAAAATATTTGCTCGTAAACATTAATAAGCAATTGAAATTATTTATTTAAAATTGCATAAATTGGTAAAGTGTAAATGTAAATAAATTTTATATGAAATGAAATTTTCAAAAATTATTTTCGTATACATATATCTTTGATGTGTTTTGAAGTGTTGCGGTTGTGTTTCTGATGTGTTCGGTGTGTTCGGTATGTTCGAACATTGTGGTTTGAAATGTGTGCCAATGAAATGTGCTTGAGTTATAAACAAATAAAATAAATCTTAAATGCTATTGCTAATTGTACTTACGGAAATTTTTTTAAAAAAATTGGTGTAGTGATTTTTTGAACATTCTATCGTTTTGAAAGTTATTTCTTATTTGCAACAATAAGTGGAAGTTACTGATGAAGGTTGTTTAAAAAATGTTTAGTACTGGAAGATCTTTTTTGGGTTTTTAGAAAGATGCGAGTAAAGCATATAAGTTGTTGAATTATAAAATGGAATGCAAAAGTCATATTAACAATCCAAGAAGAATCAGTTATTTCAGAAATTTAACTGTTAGAATGGCTTGCTAACAGTTTATGCAACACCTTGATTCTAAGCAGCTCTATCTCACAACTGATTCATTTGATATTTTCTGTAAAGATCTGCATCTGCGAAATTTCAAAGAACGTAAAATCTCTGTTCATATATAAATTCGCTTTAGAGAGCCAGTTGGTAGCGCAATTACCGAACCTGTCGAAGAAAGCAGAAGCTTCAACTAAATATTGTCAATGCCCATTTCAGGCTACAAAAAACGCTTACAACGCCAATCAATCCAGATTCAATCAAAAACAAGAAAAACCGATAATTTCGGTTGCACCGAAGCTAGTATACATTTCATAAATTAAAAAGTTTCTATACAAGAAATTAATGTTGTTCGATCGGTTTGTATGGCAGCTATATGTTATAGTAATCCAATCTGAAAAATTTATTCGGATATTATAGCATTGCTTTAGATAATAATATGTGCTAAATATTGTGACTATCACTCGTCAAATAAAAAGATTTTCAATACAAGCACTTGTTTGCGATCGTCCAGTTTGTATGGCAGCTATATGCTATAGTTGCCCGATCTGAACAATTTCTTCGAAGGTTGTGACGTTGCTTTAGAAAATAAGCCATGCCAAATTTGGTGAAGATAACTCGTCAAACAAAACGATTTTCAATACAAGCACTTGTTTCCGATCGTCCAGTTTGTATGATAGCTATATGCTATAGTGGTTCGATATCGGCGGTTTCGACAAATGAGTAGCCCCTTGGTGAGTAAAGGATGTGTAATAAATTTCAGTTAGATAGCTCAAAAACTGGGTGACTAGTTAGCGTATATACAGACGGACGGACAGACGGATATGGCTAAATCGTTTCAGTTTATCACGCTGATCATTTATATATATACTTTATAGAAACACCGACGTTTTCTTCTAGCTGTTACAAACTTCATGACAAACTTAATATACCTGTTCCGGGTATAACAATTTCATTTTTTAACAGAAATTATAAACTATCCAAGTTTGACAATATCTATTGTATTTAAAACCTAAAGCGATTCATACGACTAATGACATATGGTTAACAAATAGAGAAAGGCCTTTGTATTTTTTTATATGTCTCGCAGCATATTTTCGAAATAGAAAAATTGTATTTTTTTTTTTATAATTTAAGTCATTCAGCAGCAGCTCAAGGAATACTCAGCATATTTGTCACATAAGAAAATTTCTCTTAACAAACCAATAACTCTTCGAATGCATCTTATATGTAACTCTACAGGATTTTCCGCAAGCTTCGTATGACACGTAATATTATTATTCTTCATATCCATTTGCAAAGAAAGGACTTACAAAATATGAGAGTTTGAAAATGGATATATCAAGGAGGAAAGGGAATAATGTATACATAGTGAACTCATCCGCATACGGTCAGACCGTTTATACCATATATATATAAAGAGTTTTATATCGCCAGATTGGTCTTAATTGAATTGCTATATAGCGAAGTAGAGCTAATTGCCGGCGAAGCGCGAATCACCAAACCACTGAAAATGGTTTTTTATAGAAATTGATGTTTATACTACAAGGCAATATGATAACATTTATAGAATTTTGTAACTTTTTGCATAAAAACCTTTTAGCTTATCTGAGATATGATTTTTTTTTAATTTTCCTAACATGTTGTATTAAAACTCTATTAAAGTGTTTATTATCTAATAAGTATTTATTTATTTATCCGAGCAATTTCTACACTAAACACATAGAGCGACGGGTATTAATTTATCCGCAGCGGCAGCTTAGCTAAATGAGACGTATTTTTACTATTTTCAAGTTAGCCATTCGAGCAAGAAACGA